ACCTGCAAAGCCGAATGGGAAAGATGATCAGAGATGCCAAGTTTGGCCACATTTCCTCAACAAGTAAACACAATTTAGCCATCCCTTCCTTGATTCAGTCATGGGTTAAAGGTCATTAGGAATGTCCACCGGCAAGTGAGATCTCACTAGATATGCTCTGCAGATCTGACACTGGATGACTGGATAACTACTAAAATTACAAGTACAGAAAGGCCATGGAAATATTAACTGTTTACCAACTGAAGGTCTCAGGCAAGACCATGGCCTTCAGAAGGTAAAGGCTGGCAGCTGAAAGGCACCTATTGAAGGTCCTCTCATACCACATTGAAGACTATTTCCATCAATAGCCTTGGACTGCACCTACACATCACCAAGACGGAGCAGGGACAGAGGCAGTAAGGGCCAGTCTAGTCAAGGGCCTGTCCACCAATCATTCTTTATCTGCAGTAGGTGGGGAGAGTGTAATCAATAATCATGAAGAGATGGAGGTGCGAAATTCAGCACAGGGCAATGAGGATGCAGTAGACCTCACTGCCCAACATTACAGACTGTTCCATTGTTAGTGAAGGCATCAATGTTGACCCAAGAAAGTCACAGATTGAATTCTCTGGCTTGTGTTGAGTTAGTTTACCTCAGATTTGTAGTAGGTGTTCAAATTGTCAGGATATGCCCAGTGGTGTCCCACAAAGATCTGTTAGGGCCTCAATTATTCACATTATTTATTAGCAACTGGGATAATGGCATAGAAATTCATCTATCCAAATTAGCTGATGACACGGAGTTAGGTGACATTGTAGACAGTGTAGATAATAGCATAAAATTATAAAGGGATATTGAAAGACCATGTGAACGGGCATAATGTTGGCAGATGGAATTCATAAGCAAGTGTGAGGTTATCCATTTTGGACCTAAAAAGGATAGATCAGGGTTCTTTCAAGATGGTACGAAGTTAATAATAGTGGGTGTCCAAAGAGACTTGGGGGTTCAGGTGTACAGATCTAAAATGTCATAAGCAGAAAATAGAAAACAGAGGCAGAAAATAATCCAGAAAGTTAATAGAATGCTGGCCTTTATATCTAGAGGGCTGGCATACAAGGATGCATGATTTAGACCGCAGTTATATAAAATCCTGGTTAGACCCCACTTGGAGTACTTAGAGCAGATCTGGGTACCATACCTTAGGAAGGATACATCAACCTTGGAAGGAGTACAACATAGGTTTACAACAATGATACTTGGACTTCAGGGGTTCATAGGATAGATGATACAAATTAGGCATGTCTTCTCTAGAACTTAGGAGGTTAAAGGTGATCTGATTGAAGTCTTCAAGGTATTAACGGGAAAAGACAGGGTAAAGACAAACTATTTCCACTGGAGATTCTAGAACGATGTGGCATTGTCTGAGAATTAGGGCCAGACTGTTCAGAAGAGGGGTTAGGAAGCATTTCAATGCACAGAGGGATGGAACTCTGTTCACAAATGGCAGTGGATGCGGGATTAGTTGTTAATTTTAAATCTGAGATGGATATATTTTTGTTAAGCAAAGGTATTGAAGGATATGGACCAAAGGCAGGTATCTGGAGTTTGGCCACAGCTCAGCCAATGATCTCATTGAATGACGGAATAGACTCAAGGGGCTGAATGGCCTATTCGTGTTCCTATTTTCATTTGTTATGGGCAGAGGTTGAAGCAACAGGCAGGGTAAAGTGGAGTTCAGGCTGTAAAAGGATCAGCCATGCTCTTATTGAATGGTGGGGCAGGCTCGAGAGGTTGAATGGATTACTCCTGCTTGTAGCTCCTTGTGTTTGTGAGGCATGATCTATGTAGTTATTACCTACCAAGTGAATGGTTAATTACTGCTGAATTGTGAGCTACGCATTCATCATGGTGAGATCTAAATTAAACCTGTCAGAATGCCAAATCCTAAAGGGAAATACAATCTCCAGAGAATCCTGCTGTTGCTCTAAACTCTGGGCACTGAAGGGAGACGAAACTACAACAACAAACAGGAACCAGCGCAATGCGCTCACTACCTGTTTCTACAATGTTTTTGCAGGTACGACTCTGTTTATCTGTTTCCGACAGCTGGGAGAAATCTTTGTCAATCCAACTAAGTAGCAGCAGCTCTCCAGAGAAAACACCCAGATGGCAATGAGTTCAACAAAGTAAAAACTTTCTTTGAAGTGTAGGGCAAGGAAGCAGATGTTAGCTTTCAAATTAATTGTCAATGCAGAAGCAAAGCCTTTTTATATGAGAGACTGGAACCACATTCAGATTGGACTGACTGCTAAAAGCCATCCCAAATGAAGTCAACTGTTGGAAATTCCAAAGCTCTTTTCAATTTTCAATTTAAATTGAAACTTCCATTCGTTCTCACTCTCAATTTTTACGAGAAAGGGTCTTCAGAGGCCATGAAATAAATATTCTTCAATGAGTTTAACACCACCACATGTTACATGTCAGCTGTTGTCTAATGATAACATTCCTGCTTCAAATTAAAACGTTTTGGGTTTCAATCCCACTCAAAAGGCTAAGCATAAATTCTGGGTAAACACTGTAGTGGATTACTGAG